CTGCAGCGCGAGCCTCGCGCTCGATGCTGATCTCGTTCCTCCCATGCATGCGGATCGCCCAATCTCCCATCGCCCATCTCGAGAGGCGCGCTGCGAGACGCGAGATTCGGGGAGATTCAGATGGCGGGGACGAGATCGCAACTGGACCCTGAGCGGAGGCCTGCCCAATATTGACGCGTATTTCCCCCAGGACACGTGATGCGTCGTGTAGATATCTGCGCGGACGTCAGCACTGGCCAACCGTACGCGCTGTGCTTACTGGGCCCGCGTCCGCCTCCCACGTTCACGTCCTCGGCGATGGGGAGCTCCTCGGGATCGCTCGCAATCGCATCGCTATCAAGCTCGCTGCGCTCCCGTCGCCGGATCTACGACTTCTTGCGCCCGATACAGCAGCACGCGAACGATGGCGGTGCCCCGCTTGTCACTTACAGCGCGGCCGCAACGTGTTCACGGTGGCGGAGCTCCCCGCCGGCTCGGACGACAGACGGTGTGAGTCGTCTGGCTGTGTATCTGTACGTATCCTTGCATTCATATTCGTCTTCGAGTGGAGCACAATACCAGGCTAGGCGGATAGTGGCAGAATGGGACGCCGTCTCCTGGTGCACGTTGTGCGCGAAGGACGTCTTCTGGTGAGAAACTTGTGCTTCGTTCGACAAACTGCCTCTCACAGCTCCATTCATAGATAAGTGCCCGTGCCTCCTCCCACCTTTCTCTGCCCTCCGAGTGTCTCCTTGGAAGTCGGAACGTGCGGGCTTCTCGTTCTGATTTATTGATTTGGGCGTCCTCGTCGCCAGCCACCATCACTCGCGGGGTCGAATAAGCCGCCCGTTGGCACGCTGGGTCCGACGTCCCCGTTCAGGAAGCAGCTCGAGCAGTCATTAGACTCTGGTCATTGGCTTGAGAGGAGGGAACCAGGGATGGCCGAGTCGGCATCTGGCGATGCCAGCAGAAGAGATTGAGGACGAAATCAAAGATGCGTACCCGCGAGCCACGCTGGGCCCCTTCGTACGAACGCGTTCTGGTGCGTTGGGGCTTGGGGCTTGGCGCGCGTCTGGGCGAAGCACTTACCAGTTCTGTGCATACTTAGGAAAAAGAAGCAGATCTTGACGTCCCGGGCGAGGCCGCGGGAGGAGGAGGGGGGAGCAAACCGCCCCAGGCCTTGGCACATTGGCACTGAGCGGGTCAGGTGTCCGTCCGTTTCGTCGTGTTCGCGTTCGTCTGGAAGATGGGAACAGTTCGACGTTCGCACAGGGTGGTCACTACTGGTAGAGGCTCGCACAGCGATTGGTGGGTGCTGCCCCTGCGAAGCTAGCGCATCTGACTGAACCTTTGGGTTCGATGCGGGTTTCAGACCCTCGACGTTCCCGTTGCCGCTCCTTCGTCTGCGTCAGGCATTCTTCTAGAACGCGAACTGACACAAGTGACCAAGGGCGAGGACGTGCGGGCAAGCTCCGGCCCAAGGGGGACAGTTTACGTTGACTTTGATGGTTCTGGGACAAGGCTCGAGGCCCGAGACTCGCTGTGGGGAGTGGGGGCGAGGTAATTGCAGAGCTCGTCCATTCACTGCGTTCTTCGTTCAGGTCGGAATACGCACACTCCCGAGTCGTACTTCCTCCCCAACGCACGCGCAGGCGTGAATTTGGAATACCCATCGCATTCCGTCCCAATCCCAATCACTAGCCCCGGGAACAGCCAGTGATGCGTGGTCCATCCGACACTCCGTGGCTCTGACCAGGAATGCACATCAGAAACCGCGCGGGCTGCGTGTCGCGGTGGGCAGAGGGTTCGCTGGGAGAGGATGTTTCCTTCCCGGGCAGGAAGGGCGTATGGCGCCATCACGCCGGCCTCGAGGCGAGCCTGCGTGCGTCCCGTGATGGGCTGCGTCAGCGATGGCTGTTGCTATACTTGTGCATGTGGACGTCCTCGACACTGACTTATCGTTCCCAGGGAAGCGGGCAGGCGAGCGGGGACGGGACGGCTGGGTTGGCGCGCGCGGGGAGTGGCGGATGATGGCCGGGTCAACGATGGTGGCGTCCGTTCTACGGGAGGTTCGGGACGGCTGCTGCGATGGCTATAGGGCGCCGTATGCATGCCGAGCGACGCTCGGCGGCCACAAGAGTACACGACGTGCGACAGCTTGGGGCGGGACGACGGGTGTGGCCCAAGAATGTACTCGATTTCGTATGTACATACATGCATAGAAACGGGAGAGGTAAAAGATGACTCGGCGCGTCGGGCTGTGTACGTATGTCAAGGGAGAACCCCGAGCCGGAAAATGGAGAGGTGTGGGCTTGGGGTTTGGCAGCGACCGATCAGGTTCTCCGAAGGCGGAAGCCAGAAACGGGCAACGCATCAATCAGAGCGGGGGGTCGTGAGCCGTCCTGCACATAAGGTGCGCAGCTTCGAGACCATGAGTGCGTGCATACAGCAGATTCGATACTCTGGTGGGCAGGGCAGGTGATGGGAGTCGTGGTGCAGCGAATTGCGCGGCTGGAGTAGAACAGAGGATGCCGGTGCTTCTGGTACGTACAGGGATCGTGTACGTGAAGGGAGGGGGAGGTTCTCTGGACAGAGTGTGTGGCCGAGCTGTGTCTGTGTCGCACATGCGAGATTTGGATGGTGTAGTACATAGCGGCCGGGAAAGGCAGGAGGGGGGTGGGAGGACACGTTCCAGGGGCTGGAGACGGATATGCCTGAGAGGGGATGGTCCAGCGCTGGACGGCCGGGACGACGTCGGCGGAAAATGGTGCCTTTCATTGGGACCGCGTGCAGCAGAGGCCCAAACAGTAATCATTGTCCAAAACACGTGTAGAAATGGGAGCAGCCCAAAGCAGGCACCACCGAGCCGACTGTCACCCTGCGGTGGTTTCGGGACGGAGGGCGGTAAGCCGCGACTTACCCGGAGCTGTAAGGGCATTTACACAAGGCTCAAGGCCGGGCTTACAGGGATAAGAAACCTCGGGAAACGTGCGCCAAGGGGATAATAGTGATTGAGCGGTGCGGTCGGAGTCTGTGTAGACGCCGGGCGGATGAGGGAGCCCTATAACCGTACTCTGATCCCTCGTCTATCTCTGCTTCCTCTTCCTGCTCCCTCTAACGCCCGGTCCATGCCCTCCATTCTCAACCTCAAGTTCAAAGTCTGTGTCTGCTGTTGTATGCGCACACGCACGCAGCAATGCTCACCTCTCTCCCTATGCCCCACAGGGGAACAAATCCTTCGTGCCGTTCAGTAATCTCAGCGATGCTGAAACTCTGACGAAGACATGGAAGGTCCGTCCCATCCATCCACCCCCTCTTCCCCTCGTAACCCTCGGAAAAATTTTCCTAGGTCTGTACCAAGGTCGCCAGCTTCCTGGAGCAGGGCCAGCGACTCGAGAACTTGAGCTGGAGGCTATGGCACCTCCAGAACCTTATGGTCGACAGCGACAATGCAAAGTCCAAGCGCGACTTCAAGAAGCTCTCCAAGTGCATGAGCGACAAGCTCGACAAGGAGAAGGGCAGGTACGTTTGTCTCCCGTCTCTTCGCCAATCCCCCTTTCCCTGACGCGACGACCCGGTCGTTAGGAGCATCGAGGAACTTCAAGCGCCCGACTTCAGGCGGAATCACTCCACCGAGCTTCTTCAACAGCGTGCCCTCGAGAAGGAGCGCGAGCGTGAGGCCAGCCAGAACGGCCTCCCCGGTACCATTCATCGCATGCAGTTCACATTCTCCGTCGACCAGCCCTCATCCGTCGCCGCCTCTGCCGTCCCCACCAAGAAGCCCGACATGAAACCTTCCTCCGAGTTCAAGGACATCTCCAAGCGCGGACGCCCAGCCACTCGGTCCACAACCGCAGCTGAGGACTCATCCAAGGACGGCACCGGCGACGACAAAGACCAGCCCCTCACCCAGCGCGGCCGCAAGATGTCCTCCACCAAGAACGATGTGAACAAAGAAGAACTGTACCACGCCGCCTCCCTCCGCTTCCCCTCTCTCTTCTCAAACGACTTTGGACCCGCCGCTCTCCTCTACCCAACGCCCACTGTCACGAACGCCATGACCTACGGTGAGGGCGTCGGCTCCACCAACAATGACTCCGACGGTTTCAGCATCGTCCGCCCCACCATCGAGCTCCCCCTTGACGAACTCCTCAACGCCGACAGCCCTGGCGGCTGGTCTTCTGGTTTCCACCACCAGGAGACACGACGGGCAGACCGCCTCGACTCGCAGGAAGACGTCGAGATGAAGGTCGCGCCCTCCGACACCCCCTACCCGCCCCACGCCGTCCGCGCGGAGCCGTCCCACGAGGACGAGAACATGCTCAAGTCCGCCGCGCTCCGCAACGTCTCCGCCCTCAGCGCGATGGAGGACGTCGTCCCGCGGACCATCACCCCCTCGCGCATCGGCCCCAATTCGGGCCCGGGCGCGAACACCCCGACGTCCTCGACCGCGGGCACGAAACGGCCGTCTCTGAGCGTGCGCACGCAGTCCGTGGGCAGCCGCTCGACGGGCCCGTCTGCGACCCCGGTGAACTCGACCCAGCAAAACAACACGAGCAACTCTGCGCCCGGCGGCGTCAAGGCTGAGTGCTCGAACTGCGGCGCGACGCACACGCCCCTGTGGCGGCGGGGCCTGAACGACGAGCTGAACTGCAACGCGTGCGGATTGTACTGCAAGCTCGTACGTCTTGCGTCTCTTCGCGCCTCCTGGGTCGGGCAGTGCTTGAACCGTTTGACTGATGAATTACGTCCGTTTAGCACAAGCGCCCCCGCCCGAAGAGCATGCGCAACAATCATGGGGAGGGGCGCGCTCAGGCTGCGCCCCGTCAGGAGTCGCAGGAAGTTGTTGGTGAGTATAGCCGAGGGCGCTTCTGCGTTCCCTGCCGTCAGCGGTTCTCACAGGACGCCTCCCCAGCGCAATGCTACAACTGCCACACGACCGCGACTCCGCTTTGGCGCAAGGACGATGAGGGGAAGACCGTATGTAATGCGTGAGTAATGTTCTACTCGGAACTTTAGCGTCTGGCGCTCACCGAAGCCTTCTCTTGCGTCTCTCGCGTTCCCAGTTGCGGACTATAGTAAGTGTCCCACTGTGGCCGCCAATGGGGTGCAGCGTGCTGACAGCCAATATAGCTATAAGCTGCATGGCTCCGCGCGGCCAATCTCCATGAAATCGGACGTCATCCGCAAACGTGCTCGCCACGATGCGCGCCGAGGCGTAGGAAACGGCTCCTCGGAGACCCCGCCCTCGGCCAGCCCAGGCGCAAGCCGCCGCCCGTCGCCAAACGCGGAGTCGACGCCGACGCTCGCGCCTGACTCCTCCACGCAGGTGTCGTACGGCGGCGGCGGCAACGAGGGCAGCCCACACCACGGCGGGAACACCATGGAGTACCGCGGCTCGATGCAGTCCGAGCTCATGGGCGCGCTCGGCTCGGGCGACATGCACTACAACAACCAGATGTACAGCACGAGCTACTTCCCGGGCCCGTACCACCCGGACGTCATCTCGCAGCTGTACAGCATCCCGAGCGACCCGCTCCCTTTCTCCTCCTCGGGCGACACCTCGGACGCCGACTCGGTCTCGGAGGCGCGCGTGAACAAGCGCCGCAGGATGAGCAACGACTCGGCGTCCGAGCCGCCCTCGTCGGCCGTCTCGTTCAGCTCGTACTCCGACTCGTTCACGTCCGCGTCGTCGTCGACGTCGCACTCGCAGCGCTCCTCCGTCGACTTCCCGTACACGCCTTACTCGTCTGGCTCGTTCAACATGCTCCGCGGCGCGAACTGGCACCCGCCGATGCTGCCCCCGGGCGGCGGCGGGGACGGCTCGCCGCACTTCATCCACCCGCCGATGCTCCCGCCGTCGTCGGACGACTCGCCGATGTTCTTCCACCAGCAGATGATGCAGCACGACGAGACGGACGCGCTGTTCGCGGCGTACCTGCACCCGCCGATGCTGCCCCCGGACGACTCGCCGCCGATGAGCTCGTTGCAGCTCCACCCGCCGATGGTCCCGAACGAGTGGAAGATGCACGGGCAGAACGAGTACGACAACAACACGATGGTCACGTTCTGACTCTGAGCGTGTGTGCCGCACGTCGCGTCGCGTCGCGGCGACTATATGCCCCCTCCTCCCGCTCTATACATGCCCACCCTCTCGTGCATCCCCACACGGACAGAAGCGTAATGGACGATTCGCGATGTAGCATTTCATCCCCACCATTTTCCGTTTCCCACCCGCTCTCCACGTTCATCTCTATGATCTCTATGGGTTTATGCGTAATATGGCTGTCTACCCCTACCCTCCTTCCCTCCTCTCACGAGCTGCGATCTACGTTTTCCTTCTGCTTCCGCTTCGTCATCATCATCCTCTTCGTCTCCTCTCCTGGGCTCCTCGTCGACGTCATGATGTTTTCCATCACGCTTCTCCAGTCTCCCCATCCATCACGCGTAGATCGTCACGTTCTGTCTCATGTTATGCTGCATTCCCGGTCCGTTGCATTACCAGTCCCTGCTCGTGCTGCATCGTCATCATCACAGCATCTTCCTTCTCTTTCTCTTCATCGTCTCGCCTCCTCGCTGTACGCCCCATCCGCTTCTCTCCGGCCCGTCGCACCCAGTGTCACTATATCCATACTTTCTCCTCTCTCCTCTCTCTTCTCTCTCGCCTTCTTGCCCCTCCTCCCGCATTCCTCACGTGCCGACTTCCTCGATCTCCTTGCTTTCCCAATTCCTCCCCTCTTAAAATTATTTTGCAAGTAGGTGTACGAGAGAACCCCCAGAAGAAGTGCAGACGATACTACATAGTACCCATCGTAACTGCTTCCCCCTTGTTTCTCTACGCGAAGGGCTTCGCGATCCAAGCCCCATCAACTCAGAATAGATATTTATCCACTCCGCTTTCTTCCTCTCCCTGCCGCCCTCGTCCGGGTCCCCGAGTCATCAAGATTCGAGCCTCGAGGCGAGGGGCACGGGCGCGTTTTCCGTGGTTCTTGCCAATCTGTCTTGTTCCCTCTACAATCCCCCGATCCGTATCTCCTCTTGTTGTGCATAGTGCATTGGTACTGTCTGGTATCTGGCAACGTGTCCCTATACCCATCTCCCGTACGTAGTTAGTAAGTAGTTGAGAAGTTGCGCAGTCAAATCAATCTTGTGTCGATAGTCTCGTTCTTCTTCATCAAAGCCGCTAGTGTGCGCTCGCTCGCTCAGCCCGCCGCCGACGGCTCATTCCAACTGCCAAGATTGAAAAGTCGTGTTGCGCCGGTCGGACGGCCTTGTTCTGTTCCTCGTCCCAATGTAGGCCTGTGTTGCCGCAATTCGAACAGCTCCACCTTGTACATTCTAGTTTTACGTACACTACTACTCGTACTTCGCACCAATGACCTGTGCTCCCCCCCTTCTTTGGCATCTTTGCGCTGCGAGTGCGGCACTATGGAGTGCGAAGACTCGGGCTTGAAGATATCGGTGGCTTTCAGGGCTGCACGGGGCGTGGATCCGCACCTTCCACCGGCAGCATACGGTGTGTCGGCGGGGCGGAACCGGCGGTCCGCGGTGGTGCTGCGGCTCAGAGGAACTAGTACAGTATTGTGGAGGTCCAAGGTTCGCGGCTGCGTGCAAGCCTGCGTGCGCATCCCCTCCAAATTGCAGAGTGCCGCTGGTCAACTCCGACAGAAGCACTTCGAAAGATGCAACGCGTTCGTAGTATCAGACAGACGTGGTGATACGGGCGGCACGCCGACTGTGCGCGCGAGCGACGAGGATTGACATGGGGAGGGACATTTGGGGGAAAGTCGACTTCATTTGGGAAGCGGGGGCACTTCGACAGCACGAACGCGATACGCGCTGGTTTCTGTGGACAAGGCATGTGGAGATGCGTTGACACAGCAGAACGGGGAGGTGCCACAACGTGTGATGCAGAGTATGGCATACGATGTCTTCCGCGACTTCGTGCGCTCTCAGGCTCGTCTTCGAATGTTAGCAGCTGCTATGCGTCGAGCGCTGGAGCAGTCGGCAGAGAGGAGGTTGCTACTGACGTCGTGCCCGTGCGTCATTGCCATTGGCGAGCGCGGTGTCGTACGCTTTGTTCTCAGGCCTAGGGCGTACCGTGGGCGATTCGGCCGGGGAAATGTGGCAGCGCTGTGGGAAGGAGATGTAGTTGAGCCCGAGTCGGCTACACACCCTGTCGACGACGGAACTTCGAGCATGTGCATGCACGTTCCTGAGGCTTGTCTATTTCTCAGACGCTACGAATAGCACATTCAAATGCCAACCCGTCTTCCCCAAAACTGGGCGGCTGGTGCGGGCAGGAGGCCACACATGAACCGCACTTCGCAAATGCTGTCCGCGGCGGGACATCTCCATCGTCGGCAGAGGCTGCATGCTCGGCACCCAACGTCCTCAGCTTCCCACGTCATTTCTCAATGCCAATGAAGTAGAGGTTGGACCTGAGATATGACCTAGTAGGAGCGAAGAGGCGTGGGGTAGTGGAACTGAGCATGACAAGAATAGCAAAATCATGGCCGAGAACGCACTGGCACTGGATGGTGTTGGTATACGTTGCCCATATGAGGGTTATAAGAGGAGGCCAATGTCTACGTCTGTTCGGGTTAAGTCTGCACTGTATGTGTAAAATAGAGAGAGCACGCACTCGACCAGTAGCAAAATAGGCTCAATAGTGATCGAGATAAGTGTTCATTCATACCATCCTCAGAGCGATCCCTTCAGGGACGCGTACCTCTCAACTAGTAGCGTAGGCATAATGTACACGGTGACCTGGTTTAGCCACACACGTATGTGTCCTGGTCGTGGCCTACACTCAAATCCTATGTAAGGAGACAACAAGGCCCATGGGTAGGCTTTAATCGCAACGTGGGCCACTGGGAAGGCCTTCGGGCCTACTGAGCGTCGCCGCAGCTGGGCCTGGAAAACGCCGGACAGTGCAAATGATCCGCATTGCCCAGGAGAGACAGAAGACAAAAGCTTCAGTAGGAGGATCGCCATAGAATCCACGCACTTACTTGAGAATTTAGTAAGATTCACCTCTATCAAACATGCCGACAGAAGTCGCAGGAGCGCATCAGGATGTCATGCATGAGTCGAGTATGGTAAGGTCGCAGATCCCATCTGACCCCGATGTTCTCTGAGTGTAATCTAGCAGCAAGTCGTTTCGCTGCGTACATGCGTTTCAACTCGCTCGGAACGGTAATTCTTCGAGGGTTTGCGTAATCTCCCGCTTCCATGACAATGCAGTATATGTTCGGCACACAGGGTGCGGACTTAGGGGCGGCGAAACGGTCGCACGCGTGCGGTCCCGGTTCCTGATTGTCTGAGTACAAGCAATACCGTCAGTATCACAGATATTGCTCGCAGCGGTCATGCGGGGGATTTACAAATGGTCGCTCACTGTTTGGTGCCACGCCGGGTGCGGCTCTGGTTCGACATTGAGATCCGGCATTGCGGGGCGGCATGTGACACCACCCGCCCTAGTGCTGGAAGGCAGAAATGAAAGTTTGGAACCGTCGACGCAGATCCTGTCTAGTGCGGGGACAGAGTGTAAGTTCCACAGCGCACCTGCTCACATGATCAGTAGACATGACTGGGGGACTTGCGATCCGTATTGCACTCCAAGACGCGGCCACATGTCAAGGAGAGTTTGCTGGAGCAAAAGGAAACGATGGGTCACAAGACGAGCAAGACTCGATGGATCGCTGAGCACACCTGCTACCTTAGTTTCTGCCCTTGGCCGCGCCGGCCTGACAGTCCCATGCCGAGGTTACTAGGTCACGCGTCCATGTTCCGCATCCAAGAGTGGGCTTTGCGAATCGCTTGCTAGGCATGGGCAGAGCTGACGCGGCCTGCGATAAGTGCGCTTGCTTGTTCAGCAGTCTTCAGTCGAAGGGTACTCAGGTGATCGCGAAGATGGGATCATCGCTTAGGGCGCCACATCTTGCATCTGGTGGGCCATGCTGGAACAGGTGAAAACTGCTCTCGGGTCGTCCTCCCAGGTCGCCGTCGCTTGTTAGACACGGAACGCCAAGGCGGCAGTTGGCAACTGAATGAAAATATGCCCACCGCCGTACTCGGAAGCTCATAGCCAACGGCAAGAGTTCGATATTGGGTAGTCAGGCAGCGTTTCGAGAGGACGAAGCCGCAGGTAGTGGTCTCAATAGAACATCAGATGTCGGGGATCACAGAAAAGTAGTCCAACAGCAGCAAGACAGGCTCCGAGACGCGGAACACGCTCAATAGAAGGCCGATGTTAGGTTCGGTGTGGGCGTTCGGGACGCTGACGACGTAGACGAGATAGGGAGATCGCCGGCCGAGGAATGTAGAAGAGAAAATGTGACCGCAGCGTGTAGGCGACATGAGGCTCAGGCAGCCGGACGCGATATGTATACGGACCGTTGAGTCTGACCATCGAGAGTGAGGTTTGATCTACAAGCGCCGAGGATACCCGGACTGCAAACGGAGGTGCTGCATTCTATAGCACGGCGTTCGGTTCCACACTCGAGTGCAGACAGGAAGACGGTCTGGTGCCCGGTCCGTGATCGCGATCGGAAGGCGTGCTTGCAGCGGAATGCTCGGAATTCGGCGCTGAATGAGTAGGTGAGCTCGTACTAGCACCGAATTGTGCTGTTCAATAGCACGCTGCGCAGCCGCAGGGGCGAGGAGGACGTGCGGCAGACAGGAGGATGCCTATATCGAGATAAAATGCGAGGCGTACGCGTCGTGGACGATAAGAATTAAGCATCGTCCTGACCCGCGAGCTCAGATCTTCATCGCGCCTTGTGCCTCACGCCTCGAGGCCTGCGCACGTCGTGGTGTGGAGGCTTCTCCCACGCGCGCTGGGCGCTGTCGCCGGCCTCGAGTCGTAAGGGAACATGCATGTGCTTCGAAGTCAGCAGCGATCCATCTTCATTGCAGTGAATATCCGCATACCGACCGTTGACGATCAGTGCTAAGCAGATGATCTCGTGCGCAGGACGCGGCATCAGCGACTGTGGCGCCACAGTCTCCGGATCTTCAGTGTCACTCATGATATCCTCCTGGTGATTTGGAAGTCGAATAGGAAGTTCAGCAATGCTAGAAGCGAGCAATTACCAACAGCAAGGAAGGCCCTACCTCATACCTCAGGGGGAGTCATCATTATGCGGGTCGACCTGCTAGAACACTGCCGGACTGCCGGACCGTATGCCAATTCATATGTCCTTTGGCGGCGATTCGAGGTCCACGAAAACATACAAGCCTTAGGAATGTGCATTCCCAGGCTTATACACAGACCCAAACTTGGAGATCATACGCCTCTGGGTATATGGCCGGTACGTTGACCTGGATATTTTGGGCTCTAAAACCCGCATCTGCGATCTGTGACCATTCAGCAAGCAATCAATCTGGAACAGCTTGCGCCCCTCACTCATCCCATACAAGTCCAGCACATATCGGTGTACGCGGAGATGTCAGCATGCATGAGGCCACTCAGGGCCGCATAGTCGACATTGCTTCAAGATGGTATGTGGGAAGCTGGTCTGTAAGCTCGCCTACCGGTATTAGCTTGTCCAACCTGTCCAGCTATAAGGGCCGGCCGCCCTTAGCACAGATGAGCCCCGTGATGTACACATATACCCGCCGGTGAGCGGAATAAAAGACTATTGTCGGATGGTCATCTGATACTGATGTCACCACCTCCTCCACCACCGTACATGGGAATAGTAAGTGGATGAATTCCCAAGCCTCTGGCCAACCTTCCTCCCCGAGTCACAAGGCCCACAACCGTTTCATGAAACAAAGCAGCGTACCGTGCTCCGTCGATTGGGTACCGCAGGTCAAGGTAATTGCCCGAGAATGTATGCAGCTGGGGCCACCCGGCTTGTTAGATGAAGCAGGAAGTTGGAAAGCCAAGGGTAACATGTATATACGAATCATCGTGACGGCTAGAGGGGAGGAGCGCCGCCGCCGCGGGGCGCGGAGAGTCGGTCGCTCACCGGCGCTTACAATGTTCTCTCTTGCCCATCCGCCACTACCGCTCTCCCTGATGGATAAAACCCCGATGCGCCATAAGTCACGAACAGCGTAGGAAAAAGCCTTCAGGATCCTCCGTGGTAGAATACCACGCCTGTGGAAGGCCCATACAACCATCTCCTTGCAGTGATGCAGACAGCAAGGCAACAGGGCCAGCAACGCATCATGGTGAGCATATGCCGTTCAATATGTTGGAGAGTGCGTTTCGGGAGAGTGCGTGTCGGGAGAGTGCGAATGTCATGAAGGTACGCATTGTTGGCATTCGGGTATTGCGCAAGCCATACCATACAGTCCGGGTTTGCGACTTGCACACCCTACATGCGCTTCTCTCTGTCATGCATGCCCATCGACGCTGTATCTCATTCTCGTGAAACTCCGAACAGCTGACTTCTGGTGTTAACGCGGACGCCTCGGTGGCGGAGTTATGCCTCTCAAAGCTACAACGAGGCCGGGCATTCATCGTCGACTCACAGCGCGACGCGCAAAGTGAGCCGATGATTGCCTGTCCGGACAAACGGAAGGGCTTATACACATCTACCGGATAGACGGGATCGTTGAACACATGTCATTCTACTCTATTCGCAAGTGCGCGCTGGTATAACGTAGCTCGAACGCGCCAGCGGAAGCGGCCTTACGCCATAAGGCATGACGACAGTCTGTACTCCCGAGTCCCCCACCTAACTCCATCGCAGACGGGCTTCGCGAAGTGCTGCCTACAAGCCGACGATGGCGTGGAGGTACTGTACATACCCGACGACCTTGCGCGGGACTGTTATGCAACCATCTGCCCTGATATGATGAACGCGTCTGATGAATGCTACGCAGGATCTTGGAGCAGGCTTACGGTCATGACGCAACATGATGATGGACATCTTCTCTAGCAGCTCATGACCTGCACCGGGACTTCGCGCGGACCCGCAGATAGCACGCGCTCCCCGCTTCGGAAGCAGCAAGAAGTAACTCAATACACGTACGATCAGTCATATGCCTGAGGCATGACGCCGTTCGTAGCCTACATATAACGTGACGGCGTTGGAGTCAACGACAATCGCAGCTCGCCTTTCGCAAGGGTCAGTATGCGTGTACTGCCACAAATTCTCTTCTTCGCGGCGGCGGCGTCAGCTGCCGTGCCCTACCAGCAGTACATCCTCGCCCCTCCCTCGCGGACTCTCAGACCCATCGCTGTCCGTCTCGAGAACGGGACGCTATCCACCGGAGCTGCTCTGCTGGATAACCAGACGTCTCCCGGGCAAAATCTCACCCTCCCCACTTTCAACTCCACAGTGACATACGACTTTGGCAAGAACATCGCGGGCTGGGTCAACTTCAACACGACCTCAAGCGACGGAGCTATCGGCTTTACGTTCACCGAAAGCTCCTTGTGGATTTCCTCGGAAGCATGCGACGCCTCGGGGGGCTCGGAACTGGACGCGCCTCTGGTGTTCAACATAACAAGCGCAGGCCACTATGCAGCGCCCACTGAGAAGGAGCGTGGCGCGTTCCGCTATCTCACGGTCGTCAACCTCGGTTCGGACCAGCTCTCTATAGACGACCTTTGGGTGCATTTTACGGCGATGCCTCATTGGGAAGACGATGCCTTGGGAAACTATACGGGTTGGTTCCACTCTAATGACGAGAAGCTGAACCGGTGCGTGCCGTCCCGCTGCGGTGTCCCATCTCAGCTGAAAATCCTTTCAGGGTGTGGTACGCCGGTGAGGATGCTATATATCCTACGCTGCAATCACTATTGACGATCGCGCAGGAGCATACACCGATCAGCTGGTCACAATCGATCCGACGCGTGGCAACGCTGTCATATACCCCGCCAGCACCAGTAGCGGTTCGTCGGCCGACGGTTTCAACTGGTATCTCAACACGACCATCACGAATGGGACGTCGACTGTCACCGACGGCGCGAAACGAGACAGACTGGTGTGGAGCGGCGACATGTCGATCGCGGTCCCCGGTATCGCAGTCACGACGTTCGACCTCATCTCAGTGCAAAACGCCCTTGACTCGCTCTACAGCCTCCAAAATCCCGATGGGATGCTCCCGTATGCGGGAATCCCCTTCAACGACGCCGGAACGGTGTCCTTCACCTACCACCTGTACGCGCTCATCGGCGTGGGGAACTTCTTCCACTACGGCGGGGACCGGTCGTACCTGGACGGGAAGTGGGCCCAGTGGAAGGCAGGCATGGAATGGGCCACGGCGCAGATCGACGGCACGGGCCTCGCGAACGTCACCTCGTCCGCCGACTGGCTGCGGTTCGGCATGGGCGGGCACAACATCGAAGCGAACTCCATCCTGTTCTACACCCTCAATCTCGGCGTCGCCCTCGCGCAGAACCAAAACGACTCCGCAACGGCCGATCTCTGGGCGCAGCTCGCGGCGGGGATCCAGGCGGCCGCGATCCCTCTGTTGTGGCAGCCAGATGTGGGGCTGTTCAGGGACAACGAGACGACGACGCTCGCGCCACAGGACGGAAATTCATGGGCAGTGAAGTCAGGACTCGTCACGAACGCGTCGCAGGTGGTGCAGATCTCGAACGCGCTGCAGGGGCGGTGGGGCCAGTATGGGGCGCCTGCACCGGAGGCGGCGGACGCGGTGTCCCCTTTCATCTCTGGGTTCGAGCTGGAGACGCACTTTGCGGCGAACCGGACGACGGCGGCGCTCACCCTGATTCGAAATATGTGGGCGGACTTCATGCTTGACGATGCGCGGATGACGAACAGCACGTTCATCGAGGGGTACTCTACGAGCGGAGAGCTGCACTATGCGCCTTACGGGGACGAGGATGCTCGGATCTCGCTAGCGCATGGGTGGGGAACGGGGCCTACGAGCTCACTCATGGTCAGCGATCGAGCTTTCGCCTGATTGCGTTACTGAAGAACGATGGAATTCGTGCAGACGTATGTCGGTGGCATCCAGCTTGTGGGCGCGGCGGGAGCTACGTGGGCGATCGTGCCTCAGGTGGGCGACTTGACGCACGTCGATGCCGGGTTCTTGACCACTCTCGGTCGCTTCTCGTCGAAGTGGTTCACGGACGGATCTGTCTTTCGGCTCGAGATCAGCACGCCGAAGGGGACGACGGGCACTGTCGGTATACCCTTCCCGGGCAACCGTACGACAGCTACCCTGATCCGCGCAGATCGACCAGGCGTACGCGTGACCGCGGACGACTTGGGGAGGTATTGGATAACGGACCTGGCTGGCGGAGATCATCAGTTCGTTGTGGTTGGGTGGTGAAATCCGTATCCATTCTGAGTCGATGATGTCCATGGAGTGGCTCAAAATCCAAATTCTAGCATCACAAAGAAATGTCATTCTCCACTTGGCTGTTATCGAGCCCTCTTGCAGGCCTCCGGTCCTGGTACTTACCGTATGCCCTCCGGTAAGCTGACCCGGAACTGATGGGCGTTGACATGGCGATTGAATTGTGACTTCGCGACTTTGTCTTGACTGACTACTTTACAACGCCGGGCCCATGCAGGCCCTCCTTGTACTCATTCTGCTAATTTTACCTCTCCCATTTGAGAACCCAGGATGTAGCGCCGAGGAGTCCGGTATGAAAGCGAAGTCAAACACGTGCTGCATATTTTGCAAACGTTTGCAGACGTGACTATGTGCGTCGTCATATGCCTGAAGGCACGCTACCTTGATACACTCCTTTTTAGGGACGACAATTAGTACAGCTAGTGCCAATGTGCCAATGTGAATCTTCCATTCCGCATGGGACCGTGGGCGACATTCCCGTATCCTCCCCCCCGTCTTGACCGCTCATTGAGACGCCAAATGTCAAGACAATAGGGTCCGTCTTTCTCACTGTGATCTACTGAACTGCGGCCCTCACATGTATAATCAGACGCTCGCAAGTCGGAGCCCAACCTCCGGCTACGAGATAACATAGACCGTGCGTATACATTCCCAGGCCCCGAGTCTGTCCTCGATTCCGCCATGACCACTGCTACGCGTCGCTCGTTGACCGACGTCCCGGACATCCTCTATAATGTATTTTCCCACTTCGACGTGCACGCCGTCTGGTACGACGATAACAGATCTGCCGCACTCTAAGATTCTCGTCGATCCCTGGCGATGGCCGCGAGGACTTGTCGGGCCTTCACTAATCCAGCTCTGAAGATGCTTTGGAGCAGCCTTCCTGATGACCAGCCTCTTGCCGATCTCCTTTGTACTCTTGGAATGGCGACGAGAGAACGAGGCTCGGACGATCAGTCATGCCATGACGAGGACAAACCCCAACGATATGTGCTGCCCACAGACGATGTTGGAGGATACCCGGTTTTCGGAGCTATAGAGGCATATGAGCAGCGCTGGAAACGGTCGAGAAATTATGATGTCAGATATGTGCGTGTCGTGGGCCTGCAAAACATGGTACATACTCACTCACACTTGCCTAGTCCATCTCCATCCCCGGTAACCCCCGAACACACGTCCATTGGGCTCGCTTCGTCCAGTATGCATCCCGCGTCCGTGCCGTCGCGCTCTTCATCTTTGACGGTCCCAAATGGTCAAGGCTCTGGGATGAGTTACAGCATGCAACAGGCGGTATCACGATACTGCCGATGCTCGACACTGTCACATTCTGCGAGATCGGACCCAGGCGAGCTCTGACACCCGGAATCTTTGCTCTCATTCCCCCTTCTGTTGGCAAACTCCGCCTTCCGTTGCCCCCTTCACGCCTTGATCCATCCATGATACGATCATACTTCCCCCAGATTCGCCACATGGACGTGCAGCCCGAGTGTGGCGTTGAAGACCTCCGGATGCTGGCTGGGTTTCCTACATTGCGGTGCCTCTCCATCTCGGTATCCTTTGCCGTTCCTTCTCCGAACCTCACCCTTCCAGTTTTGGGGACACTGGTGATGGAAGGTTCGTGGCCGAACCTTACTACGCTGCTCAACAGCGCGCATCTTCCGTCGCTACACACGCTCTCGGTAACAGGTTGGGAAGGTGAAGATAACGCTTCCAAGCTCGCCATGGATGCCATACAGTGTTTGCACGCCATCTCCCGCTACAAGTCCATCACCAATCTGTCGATATACACAACATATACCCCTCAGTACGAATACGGCTGCGTCGAGGATGATATTCCGGAGGTGCAGGGTACCTCCCACGGGAGCCTCCTGGACACTATGCGCCCTTTGCTTTCCCTCCGTTCCCTCCGATATCTCGCGACCAGGCTCCCAGACTACCTGGTGGGGACCGAATCCGACCTCTCCTTGATGGCAGATGCGTGGCCTGACCTCGTCGAACTCCACCTTGTCATCTGGGTATATCAAGGTTGGAGCAGAGCCTATACTCCGCGCCCAGAGCGTCCGTACGGCGGTCGGCTGGAGGGCATCGCGCATTTCGCGCGCAAGTGCCCCCGGCTCCGTGTTCTACATCTCCCCGCGATGGAACTAGCGGAGGAGTCTCTTGGAGCTGTCGAGTTCCCCAGCGAGACTCATAGCCTATGCACGCTCGTCATCGAGAAGGTGCTGTTCCCCCATGGAAGGGCGGACCTGGCGGGGCAGATTTCGGAACTCGTCCGACGTGTCTTTCCTCGGGTCGCGTCCGCATTTGAACAAGATCAGATCAGATTCGGAAAGGAGGAGTTCTATTTTTCCGAGGACGATGACTCCGACCCTGGGGAGGAGGAGGGGAAGGAGGAGGAACAGGAGACTTGGGGCTTCGTGAAAGGTGCTTCTGGTCGATGTGATGATTGTACTAAGCATATGTGGCTTAGATGGAGAGTCGCCTGGTGACGTATGGTCGATATATGCCGTCTAGAGAAGCAGGCCCTTAAACAGAAAGAAACGCGGAACGTCGTTGACCTTCTCATACTACTGCACCAGCGATCTATCGATGTTCATATGTCAATACATGGGAACGCTGGCGAGCACAAGGAGCTCTCGGACTTATTTATTAGAGGAAAGTTGAACAATCATGAAGCCAGTCAATGTCTTCGTTCGCAAGGGCCACTCGCATGTAGCGCCAGCATTTGCTTACATGCTTACATAATATTGCGGGCCTGGCGCAATCCTCTTTCTCCCGACCAAGCTCCTCCGAGACGGGGTCGCCTGACGGGCATTCACATGTGGACTTCGCCTCTTCGAGTCATTGCTCTGCTAACCAGGAGCGACACAGGTTTAGCCTGCCTCATGGAACCAACCACATCGCAGCCTTGAGGCTCAATGAATCGAGTCCTCCCTCATGAGATCCAGTGCGCGATGCGCCTGCCATGCTAAGCCCTTCCAATATGCCTAGATCGAATCGTAATCCACCCAGTTCGTCTCGTGTTGCTATCAGTGAGTGTTCTCCTGCAGGCAGCCACTGGCACCCAGCGGCTTGCTAAACAGCTCTCGCTTCATGTGTGTGCTAGAAGAGTCTTGAATATCAAATCACAACAGCAGGCTGCGGCCCTGGGTCCAGCGGTCCTACGGAACACTCGGGCCGCAGCGCTCCATAGAACGACTTTTGCTGTGCGTGTACCGTTCTGCCTCATCCCCCCCATCAGGATGGTCACTGCTACATTGTGCTCCTTAGCTCACACTCCAGACATCCTCTATCGCATCTTTTCCTACTTCGACGCTGATGACCTGGAGCGTCAGTACCTCCCGGGCGATGTTTACGAGTCTCGTCGATCCCTCGTCTTTGCCGCAAGGACTTGCCGGGCATTCGCTGACCCAGCTCTGCGAGTGCTGTGGAGTAGCCTGCCTGACGACCAGCCTCTCGCAGACCTCCTTTGCATCCTTGGGATTGCCGCTCGAGAGCGCAGCCTAGATAATCAGGGTCTCAGTGATGGGAATCCTAGACGTTACCCCTTGCCGAATCAATATGGCGGATTTGGCTTGTATATTCCTGACCATACCTAC